CCATAATCAGCTCACCCTCAGCCGCGGTGCAGGGGGCGGAGCTCCTCTCCGCGCTCACACCGTCCGTGGCTTTCTCCCAAAACTGTACAGGCGTTGTTGCCGGCTCACACACTTTGACTGACGTCACAGCCTCTGGCTCCGCGGTGATCCTCAGCTCTGTCGCTCTCTCTAGCGATGGCTCGTCGGTCGCGGCGGGCTCTGGCTCTCCGTCAGCGGTGGGCTCAGGCATGCGCTCCGCACATCAGGGAGATGGTGGGCTGGGCTCTGGGTCGGGAGTGGCACTGGCGATATACTCCTGGGAACCGGCGGGGAATGGAGATCCATTTCTCACTAGTGTCCACTCCACAAAGGCGGCGAATCCCACTCGAGGGCCATTTTCGGACGTGTCGTCCGGGTAGGTGGTGAGATGGGCAATAGCCAGAAACAGTCTGGATGAGCCAGGGCGACAGGGGAGGATCCGGAGGTCCTAGGCGGAGCAGAGCCTGACAGAGCCAGAGGAGTGGAGTCCCGAGGCGCAGGATGGTCGACGCCAGACCAAGGCGGAGCCGGAGGGAGCTAGGAGCCATGGTGGAGCTGCTGGGTCGAAACAAAAACACTGAGAGAAAAAACTCGGAAACAAAACGGAGGGGAGACATGGAGGTAACTGTATTTTGGTCCGAGATTCTGTCACAATTTAGCCTAATGCGAGGAGCGAGGAACGAGGAGAACAGGAGTACACGAACAACAGCCTTTTAATCAGGAAACAGGAAACACCAGGGTTGACGTATAATCTCGGACAAGGACAGACAGCACAGACTCGAACTTAAATGCAAGGGATAATTAACAAACACAGGTGTACTGAATGACTAATTAACTGGCAAACGGAACACATGGGGAAGAAACTGGGTCACAGAGCACAACAAACAGTCCAGGGGCGTGACAATAGGCTAATTCCAAAAATATTATACTAAATAAATACTATAATAGTATATAAACACTGAAGTAATACTATTCATTAGTACAGCAGAAGGAAGAAAAAATCTTTTAAAACTCTATTAAATAAAGTTCTCCCTAGATGTTTGTATATGTATTTGAATATGTATATTTGAATATGCAGAATTGTATATATAATTTGCTGCATATATGCGTCAATTGGTTGTTTTATGTGTCTTTTGTCATTTACTCTTCTGTGTAACTGACAAGTAACAATAGGCTAATTCCAAAAATATTATACTAAATAAATACTATAATAGTATATAAACACTGAAGTAATACTATTCATTAGTACAGCAGAAGGAAGCAGACTCTCAGACAAATCTTTTAAAACTCTATTAAATAAAGTTCTCCCTAGATGTTTGTATATGTATTTGAATATGTATATTTGAATATGCAGAATTGTATATATAATTTGCTGCATATATGCGTCAATTGGTTGTTTTATGTGTCTTTTGTCATTTACTCTTCTGTGTAACTGACAAGTCTATTTATATATTTTTGTCTTTTTATTTCATATAATTACTTAGGGGTTTATTTTTTTATTGTATTTTATTTATTTATTTTATTTTTATTTCTTTGCTGTTGTTTTGTACGGAGCCCCGCACATGACATGCAAGAAAAAATAAATAATTCGTGCGAACGATTTACTAATTCGTTCCCTCAATGTACTAAAACGTGCACACGATTACTATTTCGTTCCCTCGATTTGCTAAATCGCGCGCACAATTTACAAATTCGTTCTCTCGATTTATAAATCGTGTGCACGATTTAGCAAATCGAGGGAACGAAATAGTAAATCATGCACACAATTTAGTCTACTAGTTTTTTCCTGCATGCCATGTGCGGGGCTCCATAGTTTTGTGTACCACACACTGTTGTGTGACTGATTGTCTACGTTGTTATGTATGTTTAAAAAAGAATAAACAATACAAATTTTATTAAAAAAAACTCTGTTTACTGTAGTTTCCACAAAAAAATAAAAAAACAATTGTTTTTTGTTCTTAAAATATATTTTTATTAATGACAGAAGGAATGACTAAATACAAAGCAGTATTTATTTTCATCACTTATCTATCATTGACATTATTGTTTAATTCAGGTTGTTTATTTGAGGTTTATGCAGGAAAGGTGAACGGCGAGAATGACGGTAAGGCACCTGGCACATGCTCAAAGCTCGTTATGACTGTGTTATTCAATGTGGATCGTGGCGGAAGTCAAACTCGGTGGCTAATTAGAGACTCTGTGGCCTTTCAGCCACTGCATTTAATTACAGATCTGTTGCGCACACTGAGAATGGCAAAAGTGACAGCTCATCTCTTCCAATACCCCCTAATCTCACAAACAAAAGAATAATAACCGTAGTCAATTAAATACACTCAGGGCTCAAGGCCTATTTTATTTTATTGATTTTTTTTATTTTATTGATTATTTATTTGTTTAATTTTATTTTATTTTATATGGTACAGTTCAGGTATTTATTTATGTTTAAGAAATAAACCTAAATAAACTTGAATTGAATAAAACCTTAATAAATGTTAAAAAAAGAAACAAAAGAAAAAAATGTATTCTTTTTTATTTCAAATTTTTGTTACGTGATGCAAAAGTTTGAAGTCGTTTATTTATTATAAAGTAATTTACCATTAATTATTTGTTAATTAGATTTCATTTACAGTACATGAGAAACATGTACAACAAGTAAGAAATGGGGTCAAAACTGTATCATTCTAGATTATTTTTTTATTGTATTTTATTTATTTATTTTATTTTTATTTCTTTGCTGTTGTTTTGTACAGAGCCACGCACATGACATGCAAGAAAAAATAAATAAATCGTGCTTTGATCAGTTTGAATAAAATAAGCAAATAAATAAACATAAACCATGACCCTGTTGACTTTGGATATCAGCAGCACTTGAATAAAATAAAATAAAATTAGAAATGTTTTTTTTTATGTAACTAAATTAGGTTTCTTCTTTCAGTGGGTGAAAATCAAATGTTGTCACACTATAAAATGACAATACACTAAGTAGCGGTTAATTACCGGTGTCAACTAATTTCCTGAGAAACAAATAGATTTTCTTTTGTCAGTATGAGTTCTGCTCTTAAAATGAAGCCTGACGACGTTATCATTCGACTTTTATTAAAAGATAAGCAACCACTGTTCATCAACTATGGTGTCCTTGTTTAGCCTATGAACGCATGTATGATGTAATAATCAGTCTGACTGTCTGAGTCAAAGCTCTGCCAAAATTGCATATGTTGTGGGAAAAACCTTTCCTCTCTCGAATTATACAAATATATAGGCTATTAAACATCTGTTTGTCTATCCGTCCGCCTGTCTCTCGTGACTTTTTCTTTTCAATAGACAATCATAAGCAACAGATTCATCTATTTTTAAACATTAGCTACGTTACCATAGTGATTTCAGACATATCGTTTCCAAGCAACAGCATCAAATGCAAGAAAGACATGAATGAAGGAAGAGCGTTTTATGAGGAGAATCTCTGGACTGATTACTCCTTTCTGTCCATTCCAGAAACCCGCTGGTGTCAACCCAGAGAAATGGGGAGCATTTTCACTCCCTTCCAAGTGAACGTCAAGTTATGTTAACTTGAGAGAGATCCAAGCCCAGTGAATGAGTTCGGATGAGTTGTTGACAGATCCTGTGGACGAAAGGCCACCCAGAGGACCATTTTAACGCTTTTTCATTGCATGATATGAACTATGCTTGGGATGTTTCTCCCTAAATTCATGAATGTCAGACGACGCACATACCGTGATCTACAAAATCATTTGAGCTCACTTTGATTGAAACTCTAGTCTACACTCTTAAAAATAAAGGTGCTTAAAAGGGAGCCATTTTTGGTTCTACAAAGAACCATTCAGTCAAAGGTTCTTTAAAGAACCATCTCTTTCTTACCTTTATATAATCTGAAGAACCTTCTTTCGCCAACAAAGAACCTTTTGTGAAACAGAGAGGTTCTTCCGATGTTAAAGGTTCTTAATGGAACCATTCAGACAAAAAAGATTCTTCTTTGGCATCGTGGAGCACCTTTACTTTTAAGAGTCTATTCTTCTGGGTTTTCGGTAGAATTCTTCATTTGCTGTCTAGAAGATATAAAAGATCTCACACGTGTGTTGTTTCTTTGCTAAAGGCCTGTTTATGAAGAAAAACAGTGATTTTGGTTCACTTTAATGTATCTGGGTAGGTTATTAAATGTGTTGAGTTCACCTGGACGCAGATAAAGAACAAAAGTCTCCTAAAGCAAGACTTCTTTGTGTGAAGACAAAGGCTGAACAATGAACTTAGTTTTCTCTCTTTTAAAACTCAAGCCTAAGAAAGGATGAGAAGCACATGGTACCCTCTATGCAGCAGATCCTCCAGAGCCCTGAGTGCGTGAGATCTCCGCGGACCTTCTTGGGCTGCGTCTGCGTCTCGTCCGTGCTGCTGTTGGTGGCGTTACAGATATATGCCCGAGAATAAAGCCAGTAGTCGGTCCCGATGGCGATGCTCATCAGACTAAACGCCACGAAAGCCCCCACGGTTGCCAGCAGCATCTGAATCCCACGGTCACACCACGCCATGGCCACTCATAATAATACGCGCGGTAATAATCCACGCATCGCTCAAACGCTGGAGCGCGTCGCGTTTGCGCCGCTTTGTTCTGGCAGTCGGTGTGATCAGGAAACTTGAGCGCGTCTCGTCCACATGTTGCTGTTTATATAGTGAGCAGTTGCGTGAGCTCACTCATCGGGGTTGCTTTCTATGCTTTCTGAGGAGTTTTGATCATCACCTTGTCCTTTTCCTATAATCGCATGATGATCCCTCTTTTCCAAACTCAGATGGCTTTGATTTGGGATTGCCATCTTCAAACCCCACCTTCAGTCACACTAACCAATGAGAAACACACATGGCTTGAAGACTAAGATGATGCTCTCACATCTCTTCACCATCATCATGATGAAGGAAACATTTAAAACAGAAAAGGAAAGAAAAGGTGAAGACAAAAAAATCTAATAGCCAATAAAGTAGCCTATGTTTTTGATGCTTATGTGAATTAATAAAGAGACCGGAATGAATTTTTACTGTTTTGTGTTTTATGTGGTATGAGATTCTTTACAAATATTGGATGAAGAGCAGGAGTCAGTAACACAATTAGCGCTCCAGTCGCGCTAAAATCCACTTAAAATTGTTTATATGACATATTAAAAATACTTTTTTTAATGAAAACTTGTGTTCTTGCACTCTAAAACATGCTGGGTTAAATACAACCCAGTGCTGGGTAAAATAGGGACAAACCCAGCAATTGGGTTGTTTTGACCCAGCGGTTGGGTTACCCGGAAGGTTGGGTTAAACATTTAACCCAACCACTGGGTCAAAACAACCCAATTGCTGGGTTTGTCCCTATTTTACCCAGCACTGGGTTGTATTTAACCGAGCATATTTAGAGTGTAATATAATTTATTATATGTACTACTAACCCTATTGTAAACACACACACACACACCCTTCCCATATAAAGTAAATCTATTATATTCTATATTCTATAATCTGTTGTAACATATGAGAGTGTAATATAATTTATTATATGTACTACTAACCCTATTGTAAACACACACACACACACACCCTTCCCATATAAAGTAAATCTATTATATTCTATATTCTATAATCTGTTGTAACATATGGCAGATGAGGTTTGATAACTTTAATACATTAATTATAAATGCAGCCATAACTAATATTGCTATGTTAAATTAGCCAACGATGTCTTACAAAATATGGCATAGGAGTTTTATTCCAGACATTATTTGGAAAGATTTATTATAAATGCAAGAAAGTAAAAAATATTGACATAAAGAGATTTTTTAGGCTACCAGAAATGATTTCATCACCTGTGACCCTACAGTACAAGCGGTTTGGGAAATAGATGGATGAATGATTTCATCGTCATCAGTAGTACAGTAACTGGTGCTTAACAAAAAAACTGACACAGACCTGCTTTTACACAGTATTGGGCAGATTATATCTCAAATGTGCTGCTGATTATGGATTACAGCTCTGTAATCATTCATTTACATTATTTAAAAGGGAAGTCTATTAATAAGGGAAGGGATGTTTTCCCATTGTTATCAGATGGCCACTTGAAGCAATAAGACTTTTTATTGTTTATGTATGAAATATTTGTATATTTTTCAGCTTTATTATTCATGAAAATCATACCCAGGGAAACAAATACTATATCATAATATTTTTCTCATCAGTATACAAACTGATGGCACATCCAAAAAAAGACCCTTAAAAAGGTACAATGGAATTGATGGTATTAGATTGTAATACCATGGTACTTTGATATATACTGTACCATGGTACTGAATGCTTACTCTATTTATGAATCAAACCATTCACGTGGTTCTCCAAGGAACTTGCAAGCATTCCATAACACATGATTAAAATAGCATGGAAGTACCATGGTACCTATTTGATTAGTGGCCTTACATTAGAGAAAAAACCCAATAATACCATCCTTCCAACCAGCAGTCATTTGACCAGCAGTTAAAGCAACATGCGCTGATGAAACAGTTCTCTGAAGGACAATCAAATAGATCCTCTTTGGGAGACATTAAAAAGCGATTGTTTACTGAGTTTGCGTCAAGTACCTGATTAATCTGTTCTCCTTCAATCTAATCTGCCTGGACCCTCAGAGTAAAACGATTATTCAGTCTCTCCTGGGAAACAGACATTACGACAGCAGCCGGTTGTTTGTTAGCTTAACACATTTTACACAAAAATTGCACTATTGAACGTGGAAGCCACTAAATCCATTAGCAATATGAATGTTTCTCAGAGAACACATCATAAAATAGAAACAGAGGTGCGGGTGTGCTGTTACCATTTGAGACTTGAGACTGTTTTTTATATTTATAGTGTAATAATAAGTATGGTGGAGGTGGAGTATCTAAGAAAATGAGCTGGACCCCCAGATGAGTGTGTGATCAGCCCAGTGGATCGATGGAGAATGTGTGGCTGGAATCAGGCTGGAGCACTCAGAGCGCCCTGACTGCAGACACTGATTGGGCCGACCGTGATGAACACAGGACTTCATCAATAGCAAGCAAATGGAAAGGATCTATTCACAGCTAGCTGGTTCCCTACACTCTTTTCAAGAGATGGAAAAAATATAGGTTTACATGATGTTTCGATTTACCAGTGTGTTTTTCTACACTTTGCATATTTTTGACTTGTGTGTTGATTTAGTAGTCAGATTTTGTATAACAAAAAACATTGTTTTAACCTACTTATGACAAGCAGTTTAAAAATGGAAAATAGAATAGAACAGAATAGGCTTTAGCATTCCGAAGAACCTACATAGGACAAGCTGTTTGGAAAATAGAATAGAATAGAATAGAATAGGCTCCAGCATCCCTGAGAACCTACATAGGACAAGCTGTTTGGAAAATAGAATAGAATAGAATAGAATAGGCTCCAGCATCCCTGAGAACCTACATAGGACAAGCTGTTTGGAAAATGGAAAATAGAATAGAATAGGCTCCAGCATCCCTGAGAACCTACTTAGAACAAGCAGTTTGTAAAATTGAGAATAGAATAGAATAGAATAGACTTTAGTGTTCCGAAGAACCTACATAGGACAAGCTGTTTGGAAAATAGAATAGAATAGGCTCCGGCATCCCTGAGAAACTACTTAGAACAAGCAGTTTGTAAAATTGAGAATAGAATAGACTTTAGCGTTCCGAAGAACCTACATAGGACAAGCTGTTTGGAAAATAGAATAGAATAGGCTCCGGCATCCCTGAGAAACTACTTAGAACAAGCAGTTTGTAAAATTGAGAATAGAATAGACTTTAGCGTTCCGAAGAACCTACATAGGACAAGCAGTTTGTAAAATTGAGAATAGAATAGAATAGAATAGGCTCCGGCATCCCTGAGAAACTACTTAGGACAAGCAGTTTGTAAAATTGAGAATAGAATAGACTTTAGCGTTCCGAAGAACCTACATAGGACAATCTGTTTGGAAAATAGAATAGAATAGAATAGAATAGAATAGGCTCCAGCATCCCTGAGAACCTACTTAGGACAAGCAGTTTGTAAAATTGAGAATAGAATAGAATAGAATAGGCTACAGCATCCCTGCCATGAGAACCAACATAGGACAAACAGTTCGGAAAATTGAGAATAGAATAGAACAGAACAGAATAGAATAGCCTGAAGCATCCCTGAGAGAACCTACATAAGACAAAAGGTTTGTAAAATGGAGAATAGAATAGAATAGGCTTTAGCATTCTGAAGAACCTACATAGGACAAGCTGTTCGGAAAATTGAGAATAGAATAGAATTAATATACTATAAAACTTTGTAAAAAAAAAAAGTATGTTGTGTGAGCCAGTGCAAAACTGACATGCAAAGTGGTTTAGCATGTTGTTATGCAGTTGCTAAGACAATCTGGGTGGTGGCCAGGGAGTTGCTAAGATGTGGTGCAAGGTTTTTAGCGTGTTACTTTGCAGTTGCTAGGGTGTTGCTAAGGTGTTCTGGTGGTTGCTAAGTAGTTGCTCATTGGCCCAATCAAAAGAGCCCACCTCCAAGTCTCTATGATATTCTGGTGTCTATATATGACACAAGTGCATCATTTAGCGTAAGTCTATGGGATTTTTTTGATCATTTGATTGGATAGAGAAGCAATAGCACACCTCTCCTCAGCATGCTACATGGTTAGAGGTATCATTCATGTCTTAATCACAAACTGTGTGGGATGAGTTACACATTGTAGTTTAGGGGTATGGGGGAAAAAACCTAACCCAAGTATAAGCAATAGTAATAGCAACTTAAACAGATGATGACAACACAAAGTCTTCTGATATGTTATTGCCTTTATTTCACCTTTTGAATATCATAGCCACAGACAAATCCCACGTGTCTTCACAGCTGTATATTGATGTATGCCGTGTAAATTAAAACACTTGAGATTATGTTGCCAGGATGCATCTGTGGTATCTGAAGAAGAGTGGTAAGTGTGAAATAAGCCTGAAAACATGATGTTAACACCAATTATAGCTGCAGGTTGAGCGTGATGCTCTTCGAGGAGAGGCCGCATTGTCTGACAAGTGGACCAACACAACAAAGGTCAGCACTCTGACCTTTCTACGGCATTAAAGAAGGTTCTGTGCATATTTCACCTTGACCTATGCACGAAGGACAGAACTGACAGCCCGTCTGCATATGGGTTTTACGTTATGTTTGCTGTTACAAATACTGAGACACACTGCTGTTCAAATGTTTGGGGTCAGTAGGATTTTTTGATCTTAAATCTCCTGTGCTCACAAAGGCTGAAAAAAGCACAATAAAATAGTAATATTGTGAAATATTATTACAGTTTAGCATAACTTTTCTATTTTAATAGCTGTTAAAATGTAATTTATTCCTGTGATGCAAAGCAGAATTTTCAGCATCATTGCTCCAGTCTTCAGTGTCACATGATCCTTCAGAAATCATTCTAAAATGCTGATTTGCTGTTCAAGAAATATGTTTTATTGCTAATGTTGAAAACAGTTTGCTGCTAAATATTTGTGTGGTAATTTTTCCATTACATTTAATGCATCTGTGCTGAATTAATGTTTAAATTTCTTTCAAAAGACAAAAAAAATCTTACTGACCCCAAAATTTTGAATGGTAGTACAAAAATATAAAATATACAGTGGTCCCAAAAAGTGTTTGGACACCTAAGCCACATGTAAATGTAACGGCATTAACAAAATATTATCTGCACAATTTATGCCACTAATGTGTCAATAATGAGTCCAAATACTTACTGGGTTACTGTATTATATTTGAAAAAAAATTAAGGACACAAAT